TCTACCCATTTAAAATATTACCACGTCTACACGTAGAATTTTATAAGCCTTCGCACGAGACTATATATAGACGGATACTATATTTAGAGTCAAATCTGCATATATTTACAATTACGAAAACATATATTCGCCACTTGCCACCCAACCCAAAACTAATAGTACGTAACTTTTTACACCTACAGGCATAACTACGAGACACATTTACAGAATGACTCGTTTCTCGGCCAATCGCGCTCATGCGGAAGAACGCGCTGACAAATTTACTGTTCCATGCCGGCTATGCGGTGGAGCTCATGGCATTCGACTATGCCCCCTTTACCGCGGCAAAGCGGTCGAAGCAAGGTTGCGTGCAGTCCTGCTGCATAAATACTGCCCAAACTGCCTCTCGCCGTTCCACTGCCTCGACATGTGCAGCAGCAAGGATCGATGCCACCGATGTCGCGAAAAGCATCACACCTCGCTCCAACCCCCTGACTGCGAAGACCAAAGGCAACCAGCGAACGCGATCAACGACGGCGAGAGCTCGGACGGGGCACTCTCTATCGACGTTCCGGAGCAGACGAAGTCGTGGGCGCAGCAGGTCGAAGTGGAGGAATTGGCGGAGTTTGAGAGGTTCGACTCTTTCCACATGAGCGAGAAGAGCGCACCTCGGGAACTGACACCCCAGACGATTAGACCAGTTACCACCACGCGCGGGCGACGCAGAAACTCGTCCTTTCCGCTCGCCAACCCGCGCACAATACAACTGGCGCGACGCGGAAACTCGTTCTTTTCGCTCGCAAACGCGCCCACAACACAACTGGGGACAACGCGGCGGCGCGGAAACAAGTCCTTTCCGCCCGTCATCACGATCACAGCGTAAGCAGCAACGACGCGTCAGCTTGGAAACTCGTCCTTTCCGCTCGTCTAAGCGATCGTCCAGACTACGAAAATCAACACCATACCGCAAAAACCGCTCCGACGAGAACAAAAATGGTAATCGTGCCCTACAACACGTTCCACCTACCGGCTTCCGAACAGGCCGCCTAACGCAAAGCGCAATACCAACGCCAATTATTCGTGCGCTTATACCCATCGCGCCGACCGCAATAGTGAGGATTGAAGCAAGGGGCCGCCTTCATTTGGTCCGCGCAATGATTGACCCTTGCGCACCGAACTCGTTGGTTGATTCGGAACTAGTGAGAGATCTCCAGCTGGAACGCAATGGGTCCGGACGACTTCAGCGTTGCACGATCGCCATGCGAGGAAGATACGGCAACTCCGACCGGACTACGACGCAAGCGGACGTGCTGGACCACCACATACGTATGAGTCCACCGTCGAACGTGGACCCTAAGGTCGCGGAGCCTTTCCAGTTCATGCGCTTGGCGGATCCGCAATTCTTTCGCGCGTCACCAATACGACTCACACTGGGCCTCGATTTTCATGCGCAGATGATGGTGAGCGGGACCCCCCCCATCCACCGTGGGTGGTCTCCTGGTCCAGGCGACCATATACGGTCTGGTTGTTTGGGGAGCCTGCCAACCATAAAAGTAGAGATTAAGAAAACCAAACCACACATACACACACACTCATCACACACACAGACCTTAAAATTTAAATAAAAAAAGTGCATTAAAATTCCAAACCACGTCTGTTTCAATTAACAATGTCCTTTTCTCCACAGCCTCAGATGAGTCGGTCGCGACGAAAGCGTTGGCGAATAAGCAGACCCGCGCAGTACAAAATCCGCTCTGCATATTATAGTTAGTCCTTAAAACTTTCCTCACGTGCGTGTGACGGTTGAGACGCGACTCCTTTTTTTTCTCAGCTTGCTTAAGGGGGCCGGTATGTTTAGGTCCGCGACCTAAATATATTGCACCACCCTAATCCGCGTTTTGTCACTTGATGTAAGAGCACACAAACACATACATAAGTTACGGCTATCTTTCCATATGAAAATATTTAAACGCACAGATAACTACAAATAAAACGACCTTTGATTTCACCGTACTAAAACCACTGTGTCTTTTATGTATTCTGATGAGTCAGATCGGGGAGGAATATAGCATAGAGATAAGTAGGTAAACCCCCTTCCAACCTCTATACGATTGCATTTGAATTCTGCAGATTCAATGTGTGGAAGACTAACTTCTTCAGATGGTATTGAAAATTTTTCAACATATATCGTGTAGATAAATTTAAAAATCACCGCAATTTAAAATTTTTAGAGTTTCGATAGTTTTGAATTTCTTGAAGTTTCCCATTTTAAATAACTAGAGTGGAATTTCCAAAATTTTCTAAACTTTCAAAACTTTGTGAATTCGAGAAATTTTAGTAAATCACAATAATTCAATATAATGAGGAATACTAGATTTCTAGAATTTTTTTATTTTTCAAAAATTTTGAGAATTGTAGGAATTCTAACAAATTTTTTCTAAGTAAAAGTGTCGAATATACAAAATTGATCAAATGAAATTAAAAGTTTTCGTCGTTTTTGAAAGTTTAAAAAATTTTGGTAATTCTTGAAGATTCAAAAATGTTTGGACGTTGATGTTTTAAAATTTTCAAAAAATTTAAAATTATCGAACAAAATTTCGGAATAGCTCCGAAAAGTGGAATAATTTTGAAATTTTTCAAAAATGTCAATATCTTTTAGAATTCTAAGAATTTTATATTTTTTACACACAAGTACCATGAACATAAGAATTTTTCGACAATTTGTGATGTTTCACATTTTTACATTTTAGGATGGATTTTAGGATAAATAAGATTCTCAAAATTTTGGAAAATATAAAAATTTCTAAAATCTCAATAATTTTGAGATTACTAAATCTGCTTTAAGTATTTATTATCAAAACTTAAGAGGCATAAATACTAAATTAACGAATTTATATCTTAATGGCCTTGAATGCAATTATAATATAATTTCTTTGACTGAAACTTGGCTCATACCTCACACTTTTAATTCAGAGATTCTTTCAAATAATTATCATATCTACAGAAAAGATCGGGAGGACAGAGTCGGCGGTGGCGTACTCTTTGCCGTAGACTCTTCAATACCATCTGAAGAAGTTAGTCTTCCACACATCGAATCTGCAGAATTCAAATGCATTCGTGTTCAGGTTGGAAGGGGGTTTACTTACTTAGCTCTATGCTATATTCCTCCCCGATCTGACTTATCAGTGTATTCACAACATGTATCTTTACTGAAATCAATTAATTCAATGATTAAACCTTCTGATTCATTGATTTTGTTGGGTGACTTTAATTTACCAAATGTATCATGGAACATCATTGACAATGATATTGTACCTCTCTCGTCTAGCGCGTGCAACAACGAATTTTTAGAGGAGATGGCTGAACTCTGCCTGAATCAAGTTAATGTACTTCGCAACAAGTTTGGCAAAGTATTAGATCTTGTTTATGTTGATGATGCATCTAATTCGGCTGTAAATAAATGTGACCCACTAGTTTTGCCCGAAGATGTCTACCACCCTGCTATTGAGATATCTTACGAAATTATAAACGATGGTCAAAATTGCGATGTCCAAACATACGAGCCAAATATACGCTTTAAAAAACTGAATAAAGAATTGTCTAAATTGTCGTGGCCTATATACAAAGAAAAAGTTGAGCAAAGCGTTGCACATTTTAATTTTACTGTACATAGATTATTTGAAAAGTATGTGCCTAAACGCATGTGTGTTCCTGTAGAACAAACACAGTTATGGTTCACTAAAGAACTGAGAAACTTGAAAAACAGAAAGTCACGTTATTTTAGATTACACAAAAAAACCGGCTTACACTCATACTATGTAAAATACTCACTTTTGCGTCACAAGTTCTTTGAATTAAACAAAAAGTGTTATAAAGATTACTTGTGTAAAATCAAACGACGTATAATATATAACCCCAATTCATTTTATGATTTCGTAAACTCCAAGCGAAATGTACGTGGGTTTCCTTCCGCCATGAAGTATCAAAATACCGTCTCTGGTGATAATCAAACAATTTCTAACATGTTCGCTCAGTTTTTTAAATCCAATTATTCCACTAACTCACAAGCATACTTTGACTATCCTTTTAAACTAAGTCCAATTAACTCAATACATAACCCTATAATATCTCCCGATGATGTTTTAGTTTACCTGACGTCCTTAAAGCAGTCTTTTAGTTATGGTCCTGACCAGATCCCCACTTGTTTTCTTACAGCCGCACTCAGAGTCGTTTAATGATTACTTAAGGTGTCCCTCAGTAACGATTTGAAAAAATTCCCTCTCAGAGTCAGGTAATGTTTCATTAACGGCATTTAATGAACATTAAAGTTGAGTAAAGAAAAACCTTCACTTAACTTTTTAACGAGAGATTTTGACAATCTTTTGTTTATTATTTTATTATTTTCGTTTGAATTTGTGTTAGATTTTTAAAATAGTGGAAAAATGTCCGATCTAGAAGACTTCATGGACTTTGCGGATTATGTAAGAAGGCACAGGGAAGTGGGATTGAGGCGCTATCTTCGAGATTATTCTGATCCTTTCACGAAGTACTCAAATCGGGAATTCCATGCACGATATAGATTTACGCCTGAAACTATTAAGAATGTTATTTTGCCTTTGGTGTCTTCTGAGTTGGATAAGCCAACCAGAAGAGGATTACCATTTCACCCGGAAATAATGTTATTGGTAACACTTCGATATTATGCCACTGGCAGTTTTCAGGTTGGTATTGATACAATTATTTACGAGAAGATAACATTTGAATCTGTCCCCATATTATATGTATTATTTTCCAAGGATGGATGTATGCATATAACTATTTCAAGAAACAGCTGAAACTATATACATATGTACATATACATACATATATTTTTAGCATATCATATATAAATAAATTAAAAAAATTAAGTAAATTATACAAATTATACAAATTATTATTTATCTTGGAACTTCGACGTTCTTTAATAAGTTATACCAACATACATATGGAAATAAACGTGTGAATTTCCAATGCCTCAACTTTTGGATCTAATGAACGATAACATATGACTATCCATTTCAATTACAGAAACTGGATGGAGATGTGATGAACATATGTCAACAGTCAGTTTCGCGAATAATTTTTCAAGTCTCTACTTCAATAGCGCGAAAAACCAAAGACCTCGTTAAATTTCCATCTACTGCAGAAAAATTTAATAGAGTAAAGTAGGGCCATATTTTGTATTCTGAATTTCGTTAATACATAATAAGTATTTTTACATACTATGTATAAAAATGCTTAATTATTGTTGCACATTTTTATTTGTAGGCAACAGTTTTATGAATTGGCTCATTTTCCTGGAGTAATTGCGTGCGTAGATTGCACACATATTAAAATAAGAAGCCCAGGAGGATTATCTGCTGAGGTATACAGAAATAGGAAAGGGTGGTTCTCTATCAATGTACAAGCAGTCACTGGTCCAAACTTGGAATTTTTTGATTTAGTAGTTCGTTGGCCTGGGAGTACGCACGATAGCTTTATATATAACAGCAGTTCGGTTAAGCAAAGATTCAATAGCGGGGAATTAAAAGGAATACTCTTAGGTGACAGTGGATATGCTGTCAGTAATTTGCTTTTAACTCCGTTTTTATCACCAAGCTCAACTCCACAAAAGGAGTACAATAAAAGCCACATTAAAACAAGAAACACTGTGGAAAGATGTTTTGGAGTTTGGAAGCGAAGATTCCCCTGCCTTCACGTTGGAATGGGTATTAAGCTGGAGACCGTTGTAGCTGTTATATGCGCATGTGCAGCATTGCATAACATTTCCATCTTAGTAGATGACTTGCTACCAGTCAGCTCTGATAACATCGAAACTTTTAATGTCGAAGCCTCACCAATCAATGAAAACTCCAACAGCAACGGTTTTATTGCGCGTCAATCTCTGGTAGACAGATTTTTTTCCTAAGATCTTTTGCTACAAATAAAAGTCTTTAGATGTTGAAATATTAACTATGTCTTTAATTTATTGAAAGATTTTTTTTTGCCTCTTCAAAATCTATTTTAGCCTTTTGTAGTAATACTTGGTTTTTTTGCTCTTCCAACAAGGCTGCTCTTTTTTTTATTTGCTCAACTTCCAACCGTAAAAGAAAATATGCATATACAAATATTTAGCTTTACCAATGCATAGTTATTATATACCTGTGTTTTGACTAATTCAAGCTTAAGCTTCTCTCTCTTCTCTAGGTACCTTACCCGTAATGCTGCCTCCCGCCGAACGTAGTCGTTTGGTCTGCGTACTTGCTCCTTTTCCACTTTTTGTTGGTGGCCAGTTTCATTACTGTGTACTATGTAGTTAAAAAGCAGCGAAAAGAATTTTAGTATATCGTAGATGACTTCTTTCGTATTTTAAAGGTACAGTACCTGCAACATTTGGTTCACCTTCATCATTTATGCTTATGGCTTTGAAGTTTACGTCGGATTCCTCATTTGCTTCCGTGATCATATCTAAAAAATGTTGGTTAAAAAGTGATTTGCCTTATATCTTAAAGGACATACCTAAAAACTCAATGGAGCTAGATTGGCTATTTTCCATGTTTAGCAAAATTGCCCCATCGCTGTCAAAGTTGTTGGAGATTTCGCAAATCATTGCGGGAGCAGCCTAATAATTAAATTTTATGACGACAAGACAGTATGAAGATAATAGTTAAGTCCCTAACAGCGCACTTATACGATATGAATGTATTTACATATCGATGGTCCTGTACAACAACGACACAATTCAAAATTCAAAAAAATATAAAAACTGTTACTACTGTTAAGTGACTCATGTATTTAATCCTTGTCGAATCCATGTCTCATCTTTTGTACTTACTTTAACAATCCTTACTGCTTACTTTAGTAAGGGATGGTAATGGATTAGACAAGGATTAGAGACAATAATCACTTAACAGTAGTAACAGTTTTTATTTTTCGAATTTTAATTTGTGTCGTTATTGCACAGGACCATCGATATGTAAACGTTTTTTTTTTTTGTATGTACTCGTAAGTAAAGTAGCATTTACATATATGTATATCGTTACTTTAATATAGAAAGGCTCTATTTCACATAATGCTCAAAATCAATCAATAGGTGAATTTAGGATTTTTAGCTAGTTACGATTTTTTTTTTGTATTTCAGCGACGATGAGAGATAGGGCCTTTCTATATTAAGATAACGATAAGCAAATAAATATCGTGTAAGAGCGCTGTAAGGATACATACCTCTTCCACCATGTCCACTATTGCTTCTACTTGCCGTGATGTTGATGGCACCGGTGGCCCACCGCCCGTTCGAAATAAATTACCCCTTTCTACTGCCCGAGACTTTCGTGCGACTGCCTTCATATTTTCCCACGCCCTCCTTAATGTAACCGTCTCACGCTGAAATAAACAATATGGAAACACGAAATGCTAAAGGTGGCCTCAAGCAGATGCGATAATACCGGTGCGATACGATATCGTATTTTTTGCGATAACGATAAAAAGCAAACGCTCTCAAACAGGTGAGATACGACACACTGCGGTGCTATACCGCAGTGGTTTGTATTGATCGCATATCGTAAAATTTTTTACCGCATCTGTTTGACGCTACCTTAAGGCGTATAATAAATTGAATAAATGCATTAGGTCGGGTATTTTTTCGACATCGTTCCTAGCACATTCGTATTCTACATTAAATACCAAAGAAAAAATTTCATTATAGCTCCAAATTTTGAGCCCCCCAAAATTTTAAAATAACCTATCTTTAATTAATACTAAGTTAATGTCTACACTTAATATTAGCGGGAGTGTTATGAAGGTCATATTTTTAATACTTACTTATGTCTTAACGTAGCATTAATTGAAGATAGCTTTTTCAAGTTTGGCGGGCTCGAAATCCAGAGCTATGCTCTAATGGAATTTTTTCTTAGAAATTTATCTAGAATCCGAATCTGTTCCATTCGTTCCATACAACCCGCCTTAAAACGCATATAATTTTACCTTGTAGACATTCGAATTTGAATTGAACTCATTCGTAAGCAAATCCCAAGCTTCTTTCTTTCTCAAAATTGATTTTCCATCCGTATGCTTCGATTCTATAATAGGCCGCTTCTTTATTAGTTGCCCTAATATAGCCTTTTCATCGGCAGTGAAATTTGATACACGCTTTCGATTTACTTTTGCTTCTTCCTAAATTAAAACAAACATTTGTATACGTACATAGAAATTTCCTGGGTGAATTAAGAGCAGGTATTGCAGTTCTTGAATGTGGTAACATGGACAAGCTTTAGCTTTACTATAGTTTGTGCAAGAACCTTTTAACTTGTCGCTTCCAAGAAACAATTGCATTGTAGCTTGACTTGCAAAATCGCATTCCTAAAACGACTGTATTGCAGTTTTCAAATGTGTTTCGAAGAGTTATTACATACAATTCTTTGGGGATGTACAAAACCCACCACACTTCTGGTAGCCCTAACTGACCAGATCACATCTTCGAGTGTGAGCCACTCTCAAAATAGACAAAAACGCTTCTCATCACAATTGTGCTAGCTAATAATTGATTGCCTGCACTATTCTGGAGAGCGTTGCCCAATACTATCTCTCAGCACGGACTTTTCTTTGCAGGCTGGGTACTAAGTAGTGCAGCAATGGACATAAAAGTGGTCATAAATAAGCCGAGACACGTCCAGGACTTAATATAAACCATATTAATTCTAAAACACATATATTCATTCATATGTAAACTATGCATTGTTAAATTATTACAAAAGAAACTCGGAATCAATCACACAATACAAAGAACCAAGTTTTTTCTATGGAGTCCGTACAGCGCCAGGGATTTTTAAGAATTTCGCTAACCTCGCATCATTGGAGTTTATAAGGAAGCGCGATCTATACACACTTAACACTGGTGATCTGGTTAAAAATGAATGCAGCGAGTACAAATTAATAGGAGGAAGGCCTAAACTACGATCTTGCTTTACTTCTACACCGATACTTACCATTATAATATAATTATTATATTATGTATGCTTTCTTGCCTTGGTGCTGATAGAAAAACAATGAAATACGTATTTCGTATGAAAGCACAATATAATCTAACTTCAAATATTTAATTTTTTTTCAATTTGAAGTGAGTGTTGCTAAAGAAAAAGAGGGAAGAAATTGACAAGCCCTTAAAGTTTTCATTAACTAATGAATCATTAAAAAATGACTCTGAGAGGAAACATTAATTAACAGATTTAACGACCATTAGTTAAGTGCCCGTTAGAGCTAATTTAATGAACGTTTCTGAGTGCGGCCGTTAGAAATTGTGCTGATTATCTCTATGAGCCGTTAACAGCCTTATTTAATTTGTCTCTTAAAGAGGGCGTTTTTCCAACTGTATGGAAGGAATCGTTCATAACCCCCTTACATAAAAGCGGTAGCAGGTCTTCGGTGGAGAACTACCGGGGCATAGCTAAGCTTTCTGCAATTCCTAAATTATTTGAAGCAATTATAACAAATCGGTTGACGCATTCTATCACTTCAAGCATTTCATACAGTCAACATGGATTTTGCAAGGGCAAATCAACTTCTACAAATTTACTTGAATTAACATCCTATATCTCAAAAGCATTTAGTGAGAGCAAAACTGTTGATGTTATATATACTGATTTCAGTAAAGCATTTGACAAAGTGTGCCCCTCGTTGCTCATCTATAAACTTGATCTTCTTGGTCTTCCACCTAATTTTCTACGTTGGATCTCTTCATACCTCTATGATAGATCACAAAGGGTATTGTTTAAAAATACTATCTCTGACGTCATTGATGTTACTTCAGGAGTCCCTCAGGGTAGCCACCTAGGCCCGATTCTGTTCTCGCTTTTTATAAACGATATTTCTACAGATATAAAATTCTCCAAAATTGTAATGTATGCAGATGATGTAAAACTTTATAAATCGTACGTTTCAATTGAAGAAAGGTCTTTGCTACAATCAGACTTAAACAGCATGGCTTACTGGTGTAAAGTAAATCTTATGCCTCTAAATCTTAAGAAATGTAAAGTAATGTGCTTCTCGCGAAGAGCTGTTCTGCCAGTTTCTTATATATAATAGGTAACCATAACCTGGAACAGGTATACAATTTTGTGGACCTTGGTATCACAATGGATCCTAAGCTTAATTTTAATCTTCACATTAATGGGACAGTCAAGAAGGCTAAAGGTGTACTTGCATTTGTGAAACGATGGTCAAAAGAATTTAGTGACCCTTATACCACTAAAACCCTGTTTACATTAGTTAGGCCGATTCTGGAATACGGCTCGGTGGTTTGGAATCCAAGGTATCAAATTTACTCAGACAAGATAGAATCAATTCAAAAACAATTCCTACTTTTTGCTTTAAGAAATTTCCGATGGGATTTTCAATATAGTCTTCCACCTTATACGAGTCGCTTCAAACTTATTAACCTTCCTACACTTGCCAGTCGCAGGGAAATGCTTGGTATAATTTGTATGGTTAAATTACTGACAGGCTCAATTTCAAGTCCGTCTCTTCTGGCTGATGTAAGCTTTAATGTTCCGTCACGCGTATCAAGACACTTTTTTCCCATATTTCTGAAAGCTTGTAAAACCAATTTTGAATTGCACGACCCACGCCGTTGCTTATGCCAGGATTTTAACTCTCATTCCAGCACGTTTGATATATCAGATCCGCTTTTCAGCATTAAGAAAGCGATACTCTCCTCTCTCAATAAGTGAATTATTGACATAAATACATAAAATCAGCTGATGAATTTAGTTCTGTAGCTGAACAATTTCCCCTACCTGGGTTTAAGTTAAAGCAGTTTTAGTAATCAGT